GAATAATTCCAAATGGCTGAAGAATCAGTTACTCCAATTCACGGCATCAATCATCGCAGACCCGAACCCGACACTGACCTCACACTGCTCGGGCCGCTAAAATTGGAAAAGAGACAACAAAACACAGTGACCGCTGAATCTGAATCGCCTAATTGCTTCCCATATCTCAGGGCTTTCCATTTCAGTCGAGAAATTCCGTCATTGGTGTCCCTTCGGTCGGAGAAACCCCACGGGGTGTGAAGCACGGTGCCTCACTGGATCACCACCGAAGACAGCTTGAAACTGAAACATCTGTAAACGATGTCGCTTGGGGGCCAATCTTTAATAGAATATTTGCTTTTTGGATTTAAAGTTAAAACCTGTCATAAAATGTCATGCTAGCCACTCCTTGTGCACCCCTCTCACATTCTTCTATCCGAATCTAAACAATGAGATGCTTTTAATGCTGCTTTTGGAATTTTCATATTATATTATTATATTTTTCTCTGCGATATTTCAACATGAAATGAAATAAATCTTAAGGAAGCTCAATGATCAGAGACTTGGCCGCCCACGAAGTTCAAAACTTTTAGCATATAGTAACTGATCAAGTACTAACAGCTGTAGATCTTAATGACACTGCTATCATTTTCACTAGGTGGGCCTCACGATTCGTAATTAGTCGATAACCCTTCTTCTTCTTCTCTCTTTTTTATTCCCTTGTTTTGGTTTCTCTCCCCTTTAAGTCAAAAAAAGTGGCTTTGGAAGAAACAAGCGATCATGATAGCTTGGCAGAATCATTCCAACGATCAAAGAACTAATGTTACTTGTCTCGTTTAAAAATTAACTTTGAGATCAATTTGAAGTCAAAATTTAGATAATATCTCTCTCTCTTTTTTGTTTAAGAACATGAATTGATATGTAAATTGACTCAAGAATAATAATGATACTGTTATCATTTCATTTAGCATTGGGCTTTCTCCGTCAAGCCATGGTAAGTTACATAAGTAGAAGACAAATATGTCCTGTTTGATTTCTGTTTTTATTTTTTATTTTTAAAAATTATTTTATAATATGCTTTTTAAAATATTTTTCAAAACAAAATAAAAGAAAAATTCATTTGGTTGTGCTAATTTAAAAATCAGTTTTATAATATAAAATTAGTTGATGGTTAATAATTGTAGATAGTTAATGATAATAGCTTATAATAGTAATTGGTCAATGTGTCCAATAATCAAATGTAATGTATTTTAAAAATAAAAAAATAAAATAAAAATAACTTTAAAATGTTTCTGTTTTTTTGTCTTTAAAAAACAAAAAATGAAAACAATTTTAAAACAATCAAATTCAAAATACTTGTCCAAATAATTTTTTTAATATTTTTATTTTTAAAAGAAAAAAAAATATTTTTAAAAATAGAAATCAAACAAGTCCTCAGTTTCCTCCTTCTCACTTGACAATCCTTGTTTCAATTTTTTTTACCAGATATCTTTTTTCTTAACAAAATTTATATGAAGTTTGAGTCATGCAATTTTTTACTCTCTCAGTTTAAAAATATAAAGTATTTTTAATCAAATTTTACTTACAATAAAGTATTAAATAATTTTAAACTAACCATATCTTTTCATATTATCCCTATTAAACATCATATAATAACTATAAAATTATTATTAATAATAGAGTTAGAAAAATGGACTGGCTTGGCCTTAAAGGGCTTGCCCTTGATGGGTTCGAGCTTAAAAGGGCTAGTCTGTTTAAGCTTAAATTTTCTTTGGAGGTTATATTTGAAGCCCAACCTTAAACATAACATGCTTAGGGCCGGCTTGCGAGCTTCGAGCCCTTCTACTTTTTTATTTTTTAAATTAAAAATAATTCATCCACTTCATTATAATATAAAATCTTACTTTAATGTTAAATCACATGACAACATCTTAATTCTTAATATCAACAATACCTTGATTATGCAAAAATTCCCTTATGTCAAATAATAAAACATTAAAATTTATAAATTCCTAATTCAAGTCATACAATACAACATTATATAAAAATAAAAATAATCTATTATTAAAAAATATAATTTAAAAATATTAACACACATATGTAACATGAATCAAATTATTATCTAGAATCTAAATTAGATCAAATAATTACTTTTTTGTCTAAATACATCATTGTCTAGAATTAAACAAACCAAACTTTATTCAAAAAATATTAAACAAATTAAAGTATTACGTAAATTTTAATTCTAAAAAAACTACTATAATAACTAAATATTTAAAAACATTATCAAAAATATCAATAATATTATCATAATAAATAATATTTAAAATATAAATAAATAAATGGGTCTAAATGGGCTGGCTTTTGACCCTATAAGGCTAGCCCTTTTAGGCCCTGGCCTATTAAGGCTGGCCCTCTGTGTTATGTTTTAAAGCTCTAAAACTTAAGTCCGGCCCCAGTAATTATCGAGTTTAAAGGCTGGCCCTATGAGCTTAGCTTGTTTTCCTGACTCTAATTAATAAGAACACTTTTGAAAAAAAAATAATGATTATACTTCAAAAGATTAAAAATGCCTTATATTTTTAAAAATTCAACTCCTTAAAATATTCTTACATTTTTAAATGGAGGGAGTATATATTTTATATTTTATGTTTATATTAATATGGCAAGAGACGATATTTAAAGATTAAAATGTTGTCGTCAATCTGTTCCCTTTTTTCTCTCTGATATTGTGGTGTTGCTTGCAATGTTAACGTTTCTATAGTCAAATAAGTTAATAAAAGGTTTTAAATGAAACAGACAGGAAAAGAAGTTAGCCGAACAGGTTTGCCAACGTAGCACCTGCTTCTATAGTCAAATATGTCGATCATGCAACTAATCTCTAATGACTAGTTCTTACATGTTAGAGATATAACTAAAAGTCACTCCTGAAGTTTCACCGCTCACACGCTAATTAATTCTTTAGGCAAACTTGTTTAAGAATTTTGGCATTCAGTAATCAAAAGGATTGGGCCAAAAAAAAGGATTTAATTGAAAAGTGCAGGAAAAGAAGTTACCTGATATAAATTCATTATATCATAATTTTAGCATTTCACTTTGCTTCTTGTACCGTTTTAATAAATACTGTTTTTTTCAATATTAAATGATAAATGTGAATGAAAAATGATTGATAGGAAAAGTTTATTATGCCTTTAAGTCATTTAGTGTCAGTGCCGATGTAGGAATGCTGAGCTAAGAAGGTAAGTACATGGCTAAAAATTTTAATCACTGTGATTGATATTGGCAGAAATTGGAACCCAAATTCTGTTACCCCAAAGTTAAAAATTGTTTTTAAAAAATCTTGCAATTTGAATGTCCTTCTCTGGCTATATATGATATATGGCTTTTTATCTCCAAGCCTCTCCAGCAACTATGCTTCGTCTTTCACCCAAAAAAAAAAAAAAATTGGGACTATTTAAGCATTGACATAATTTTTTTTTTTTGTTATATTTCCTTGCACGAGATATGACAAAACAAGCAAGCTCTTAGTCAAAGAAGTGTTGAGCCATTGCCTTTGACATTTGCGAGCTGAAACATCTTAGTAGCACGCTTCTCACTCTGCTGTGCACAATACACTACCATTTAAATCATTCTACATGTTTTGTTATATGATATATAAACTTTATCTTTATGTTGTCTTTATAGATTTAAGATACTTAAGTTTGCATTTAATTATGTTCAAATATAAAAATAATGTTGTGCCTTATTGCCAAAACTATATAATGTACAAGATTCCCGTGGGAAGTAAATGCTAATTGTTCATATAGTATCATCTTTAACCTATAGAATCATCAATTAATCATTAATGCCTACACTAGTTCTTATATGTCTGGGATAAAACTAAAAGCTACTTCTAAAATTTCACTCATTAATTAGCTTTCTAAAATATTAGTTTAAATGAGTATCAAATCAAACTAGTTGCCATTGGCACTTATTTTTATTTATTTATTAATTATTATTATTAAGGACAATTTCACTGCAATCTTCTTGACTAAACCTATTGATAGTCCCCCTTGGATTAAATTGAAATTAAATTTTTGAAGGAAATGACACATAATTCCAATCCCTTACACTAGTTGTTTATTTTTCATTCCTTACTTGTTCATTTTCCTTATACAAGTTTTTCATGTACCTAATTGTAATTATTTATAGTTATAGTAGTGATATGTTGTTAATTATGAGAGTTGCAAATTTTACTTATATCTATTATTTATTTTTCATATATTAATTATTTTTTTTCTTATACATGCATCTAGTTTCACTTATTTCTATTTATAGTGACATCATGCTATTAATAAAAGTTATAAATTTTTCTATATTAGTTATTTATTTTTCCTATGTCAAATGTCTTTATTTGAAGAGTGGGTTTATTTGTGTCACTTTCAATATTTTCAGAATCGGATCAGATATTAAACCGAAAAAATTAGCAGTTCACAGTTAGCGTGGTTCAATCGGGTTGGATCAATGGTCAAATCAGTGACGTAATAATTAAATTAAAAAAATTATATATGTATATAATAATTTAAATATAAGAAATACATATGAAATTGCTACTTAAATTAAAAAAACTAAATATTTTAAGTTTATTATGACTTAACAAGCCATATGATACAACATAATACCAAGTGATTAAAAAAATTAGTCATTTTTTTAAAAAATTTAATAAAAAATTTTAGCAGTCTAGTTTTTGAAAATCGAATCTGGTTCTTAGCTTAATTTCGATTTCCCGTTCGACCATCGGTTCAAAACGACCCAACCTGACTCAACCCTTAAAACGGTTTTCTCATATAAACTAAACCAAAATTCGGACTGGTCGACGGTCAGACTAGTCCGACTGTGAGGTCCGGTCTGGTTTTCAAAACACTGGTCACTTCTACCAAAAATTTAATTTCAATTTAGTCCAAGTAAGACCCACAAGGACTGACTTGATATTTCATAAATTTAGGAAAGTTGACTGTCAATGAGTATGGTTAAAAGGGCTATAGTGAAATTTTCTCTTATTATTATTATTCAATACATCATACACATCATTCGTCATTCCTCGATCACCTTCTACATCTCTTCTTTAATAATAATTAAAAAAAGGTGCATGCGGTACATTTAATTAAGGAAATGCAGCAAATCTAATTCCATCAAATAAGTCTACAGAATATGGTACTGACGCTGCCCAAGAGATATGAAGTGAGAACGAAATATCAGCTGGCGAAGCAGGGAAAGTAGTGCTAGACTGCCAGTAATTCACCGACTATACAAAACATCAGCAAGTAGAGCCACTGAATTGAACGTTTCATAGCTTTGTGATGAACTCGAATCATTCTGGACGTGCTTCGAGATGAACTATATTAAGCTATGCATACTGCGGACTTGTCGTTATTGAAGAGAAGCAAGCTCGGCCTGTGAATCTTGGTCGTTAACGTTGTCATTCCTAATAATCCTGAGTGGCATCTCGTGGTTGTGCTTTCCCTCGTACTTGGTGATAAATGATCTTGGCTCATCTATTGCTCTTTCTACATGTTTTCTCACCTTGCACTTCATGTTAGTACATCTGTAGTAACTTCTGCAACACATTTTTAATTTTTGAGTCATTTTTATAGGAACTGTGATATCTCTTGAGCCTAACCTGACACATGTCAAGTGAAGCGGCGTTTTGAACCCTCGTGTACACCAAAACTTTTAATTTGCATCACAAAAAGGCTATATGCTTAGCAATTTGAAACCTTTTTATCAAACCTGGGATATGGATTGCCTTTCACAACCTTCTGCCCATATTTTTTCCAGCGAAAGCCGTCTCCTACTATTTCAGAATCTGCAGAACTTGGTACCACCCTTACCGGCTCTTCACTATCCTCTGAAACCACTGTTCCGTATGATTGATTCTCATTTTTCCTGAAGCAACAGCAATTAAATACAGAATACAGTAATATATATATATATATATGAAAAATTAATCATAAAGATACCTTCTTTTACTGCTAAGCTCATCTTCCTCTACCTCAAACTCCTTGCTTCTTCCCTCACCACCATCAACCAACGGAGCTTTGTCTTCTTTCCTCTCTCCATTGTCACTGCTCCCTAAATTGTTGTATGTGTTACTGTCTTGACTCATTCCATCACCCACCAATTCAGATCCTAAAGCTGGGTTTCGCTTAAGAGGCTGAGGCTTTGAATGATTGTGCTCACCATTATATACTATCTCTGTAATCTGGCCATCAAGTGATCTTTCCACCTTCTTCTTGGCTGGACAATTAGGATTTGTGCATTTATAATAACTCCTCGGATACTCACTTCCTTTAACCTGCTTCTGCCCATATTTTCTCCAGTTGTATCCATCATATGAAGGTCGAGCGCCATGATTATGGAATGTTAAAGCTTTTGTGTCTTCCTCTATCATGTTCTGTGGTACCACCTTACAAGGTTCAGCTGCTTGTGGGCCATTACTATTTGGGTGCGAATAGGACCTGAACTTTTCTTGCAGTGGAGGTTGATGATAACTGGTGCTGCAATTTCTCTTCTCCAATAGAAACACAGGAAAAGCATCAATTTTTGAAATAATATCCGTATAAGGAAAGGAGAAATATATTATTCAATTATTTATATTATTCAATTATTTATAGTACTGACCATATTTGCCAAAAGAGAGACAGTGGTCTTTGATGCAAGTTTTGCCATTGGCTTGTAAATCTTGTCAGATTTCGCCCACTGTAATTGTGGGAGAAAAAAACAGGGATATTGGGAATGAATAAGCCATTAAAAGTAGAGATTATTATCAGCCATTATAAAGCGAAAGTTCACCTGAGAAGAATCAAACCCGGCAGGAGGAAGAGGGTGATACAGGGATGGCTTGAACCTCACAGTTTTGGGTCTAATGGCCGAATCTGGTGTTTGAGAAGATTGAACAGCGGAAGAAGATGCATTAATGGCACCTGCAACTGAGAGAGGTCTAAAGGTGGAGCAAGCAGGTCTTGAAGCAATTGGTTTTGCAATCACTACTACTCTTTCTGCTTCCTCAACTTCCATCTTCAATGGCTATGCTTTGCAAAGTTGTGATTCCTTTATGTAGGAGAAAGGAGCAAAACCATCATCTTCACAAACGAAATTAAGTCGTTGATACAATTAATTAAAATCATCAGAAAGGAAAGACAGCAAATAAAACAAATGTTATTAGGTGCCCCCCTCGAACTATTTTGCCAGTTATATGGATAGTAGAAGTGCACTAAAAAAATATTATAGATCATGATTATAATATTTGTAGATATGACATGACGGTATCATCCTTTTCACATGAGCTGAAATGGGGTGGGGGGACCGTAAAGAAATGAAAACTTTGGCTCTCTTCATCTACCCAAAAAGTACAGCATTGACAAAAAATCACCTTTAACCACTAGCTTTTTTTCTGTTTTTAAGGTATGTCTTCGTGTTACTAGGTTATCTACTTCCCATTGCGCATTCTACTTTCATTCATAGTAAAATTAGCTCATGTTTCTTCTTGTCTGTGCTCTTCCAAAATGACCAACCTATCCAAGAGGGTTTAATTGGTGTGAATGATACAGCACAGAAAATAGCAGTAGTCTGTTCCAGAAGGAAAAGATGAAGAGAAGGGAGATGCCTCTGTCAAATCAAGAAACAAGTAATGTTGCAAAAAACAGGCAAAAGGTCTAGTCTGCTGACAAATATCGATCAAAATGACCAGAATTATGAAGAACACAGAATGAACTGGTGAAAATAATACTAGCTAAAAGTGGGAGCTAACCAGACAGTCGAGAAGCAACAGCCAAAAAGTGGGATTTTAAGAGGAAACCTGAAGTTGAGTTTCTTGGGCTAACAGCATTCTCGACAGTGACCTTTGAGATTGGGATTTGGTAGAGGCGGAAAGGAAGGACACTCCTACTCTCGTTCAAAAAAATCTACAGTGCATGCAAACGCGCCCGTGTTTTATTTGGATGTTCTTCATCTTATCAGTAGTTTATTAATATTTAAGCGGGATTTCATTCCTTTTCTCATCGAATAAAAAATCACTTCCTTCCAGAAAGGGGCAAAAACCACTCGGACGACATTCTCGAACTCGTGATTGTTAGCTAGCTAATTGTACGGCCACCTAACTTTCAATTTGACAGTTTTAAGCGGCGCGTGTAATGCACATCCGGTTTTAAATAAGGGAAAATTAAACAATTCGCCGTCCGTGGAACCCACGACCACGTGGTTAAAAGCCACGCGCTCTACGACTGAGCAAGAACGGCAACACATTACTGTGATAATATATGATGTATAAACTAAAACTGGTACCATAAATTCAAGGGCAAGCTTAGGCTCTGAACTTTGAGGATTATTTCAAATTTGAATGAAACTGCAAGGGAAAACATTTATTTTAAAAAAAAATAGTGAGACCAGAGATTCTGGCAATGATCACATTATTAATTATAACAAGTTACCTTAATATTAGTACATACAATTTACCATTTTTTGAAATGAAAAAATTTAATCGAACCCTTGAATTGGGTGATATGCATGTTTATTTTACCACTGAATATATAATTCCATCTAAATTTGAGGGGATTTAGTTCATTTCAAATTTAAAAGCGTCTTAACTTATAGTTTTTATTTTATTTTTTTCTGCCAACATCTAAGTTACAGTGCAGTTTAGGGGTTAGGAATTTTCGGAGAAAGTATAAATAATATAGTAATCACAGAATATGACCTCTCACTTAAATTTAATGTTGAGAAAACCTCAATGGCAGAGCCGCCTCACTAATAACCATAGGTGTTTGAAAAATTCAATGTTAGCACCTCTTTCTTCTCATCACCAAAACACAAGATTCAAAGGATGTTTTACTATCGTGATAATATTATTTACTTTGTAATGTTGTTCACACTCGCGCAGTGGTATGTTTTGTTCCATTTTTTCTGTTATTAAATGTAATGGACCATGCAACCCCACACCACCTAAAGCAATTAATTACCATGTGGGCATGAATTACAGCGTTCAAAGGCCCGTCCAAACGAAATTGATTTGTTCTGTATGAATCTGCGTCCTTTTGGATATTAAATCGACAAAGTCTGAATCGGATCAGTGTGAAAATGACTCTACCCGAGAAGGAAGATAAATGCCCAGAATTAACATTAGGGTTTGAGGGGTTAGTTGATGTTTGGAATGTTAGTTGAGAAATGAGGTTGCAAGCCGACAAGGTTTCTGTTTTTAACAACATACGGCCTTCTATCACCAAACTGCTATATATGTTATGCTTATGACCGGTAGTTGTGTTGTCATGCATGTGAATAATGTCACTTCACTTCCCAGTGGATATGAATTCATTCCTGAATTTGAAGTTTGAGTTTTTCTTTGCATTATGTATATGTTATACATTCTCCTGTCCTTCAAAATTTTTGCAAAAAATATTATAATATATATATATATATTGTTTTCATCCATTATAATTAAATTCTTGGTCTGGCCTGCCTGAATTATTTCTTTCAATATTTTTAGCTATTTCTTTTCCTTTAATGGAGTTATCATGCGGCTGTAGAGGATAAATATAATGCTTGCCATTTCTGGTTCAGTCCAAACAAAATATGAAAACTAATATCTACCCATGATATAATCATATATTTGAGGGCAGGGGGGCGAATGCAAACTTGAATCCAATATATATATATATATATATATTTCAAAGAGAAATCATTAGATTATTTCAAGAACGAAGTTTAATAAGACTATCAATTCATTAAATTCTAACAAGGAAGACTAGCTTGTGTGCTTATGTATGTGCATGCATAAGCATGTGTGTATTAAAATGCTAAACACAACACATTTACTCTTTTTTGATATTTTTTATAAGTCTCTTCAAACTAACTTCTCAAAATTAAGGTGAGTGGGTTAGACTAATAAAAGTGTGTTAAAACTAAATTAATTTTCAATTTTGTCCTTAAAATAATTATGTAATTATCTTATAGATAATGATGATAGTTTCATTTTCTTTTTCAAGACCTGCGCTCTTTCCAATATCCCATGTAGGCATACTAATCTTTTTAAGCTTGAGAATAACTTCATGGAGTTGCTGGATGAAAATGCCATAAAATCATATGCCCCTTCGAATGAAACTCCAACAGGTAAGAACACGCTGTTTTTATGTTTTATTGAAATGATAGCATATCTCCCATCAAAATCTGCACAAATGGTTCAAATGAAAACAAAAATGGATCTATGTACAAGTAAGGACGATCAAATAATCTGCATTATAACAGGACCATAAAATAAAGAAAATTAAAACCACGTTAATAACTAGAATAGGAGAGCATATGATGATAAATTTTCACACTGTCATAGTCTAGGTTATTAAAAAAATTGCACAAAGGTAGAGCTAGCAAAGGCAGCCTTGGAAGGAGGTGTGAAAAATGTTTCAGCTGATAGAGGAGACTTCATCATTCAAGTCGGACAATGGTATTCCTTCTTCACGATCAAAAGAATCCTCAACTATCGATCCCATCAGTTCATCACCTAACTTGAATTCATAACCTGTTTCCACATAAGGAAAAAAAAATTCCAACAAAGATTAAAGAAGAGTGAATGTTTGGCATACGTGAGAGAGTGTGTGTGTGTGTTTGGGGGGTAAATCCCCAAAAAAGGAACAAAAGTAATTGGATATGAATATAAATGTTCTTGAAAACTAAGTGCTTGTTTGGGATTTCATTTAGTTGGTTTAAACTACGGATTGTAGGCTTAAAAGTTAGCTAGGGATAAAAAATATGTTTGGGTAAAAATAGTTGGTAAATGAACTTTTCTTTCTCAGCTATAGTTAAGTCAAAAGTTAGATTTTGAAGTTTTTATATTAATTATGTTGAAATTTAATTGTTAGCAATATTTAATGAAGTTTAAATTTAGTGAATAACCTATTTATCCTTCCCCATTTCCTTTTAAAATTTGATATTTTTATTTTTATTATTTATAAATTTAACATTTTTATTATTTATAACTTATATATATATATGTATTATCCTTTAAATAAATCTAATTAAGTTTTTTAGTATTTAACAATATTTTCTACATTAATACACTAATTATTATTTTAATTTTATAATTTTAATATTTTTTCTTAAATTTATCAAACTGCATACTTGTGTGTGTGTGAAAGAGAGACACACAACTCATGTCTTTTTTAATTGTTATATATTTAAACCTACCTTTTAATTATATTATCCAAATAAGTTTTAGTTTGTTAAATTGTATTTTTTTAAAAGAGTATCTAAATATAAATCACATTATAATAACTAAATTTTAACTCAACTTTAGTTTACAAATTGTAATTTATGCAAAACATATTTCTGCAAACATTAATCCAAACAAGCTCTGAGTCATCTTACTTTTCATTTTCTTTTAGGAATACCACAGAGAAGGGCATTTTTGGAACGTTATTTAACAATTGCAAAAAAAAAAAAAAACGGGGGCGAGGACCAAGCCAATGCTCTATAAGCGACTTAGAAAAAAAAAAAAAATCTGGAGGGATTAAATACTAAAGTAGGTGATGCCACCTAAATGCATGAGGTGGAATTTGACGAAAGGTTACAGGATTTCGTTTTTCTCGCAGGTATAACCGTGTAAGTGGCTTTTCCATTGATTAATGATGGTTTCAGTTTTTATCCCCAAAAAAGGATCAAAGTCAAGTGTTGAGAATGAGGGGGGCCATAATAGACATGTAAGATTTGACCCCTATATTTGAAAGAAAAGCTACAATACATTATTGAGCTTGTTTTCTTTAACTAGAGTATGCCGTGTGTGATGCACAGGGAAACATCAGCATGTTTTTTTATTTTAAAAGGATGTTACTGTTGTTTTTACTGTAGAACAAACGGTAACGAAAGATTGTATTTTACAAAAGAAAGATGTGATTTGAAAATGCTTTGACCTGTGCGTTGTCATTATGCAGGCATCGCCAAGCCGCCAAGCCGCCAGGCGCCAGCATTTTTGATTCAAAAAGGGAATGAAGGTGCGCCGATGCTGGGAAGTTACTTCAGCGGGTGACAGTATTATAGCTTAAAACGGGTGATCATGACACATTCTGTATCATTATTCTTTTCCCATTTACATGCGACTAACTGTGTCGAAGATTCGTCCCCACTCATAGATTTTGTATGCTATTGTTTCGCTTATACGGGAACTAGCATTTTCGTTCCCACTAGCTTTCGTCTCTTCTCAAATTACATTCGCAGTCAAACTCGTGACTTGGATGCTTGATAGTGACGAATGGGAACAACGGTGAAAATTGGAAACTATTTCAAGCAATGAGTTATGCTCTCGACGGAGAATATACTCCTTTTCGCAACATTGCACATATTCTATGGTGCAGACAAGCACACGAATGGAAACCCATAATTCGTTTTTTTTTTTTTTTAACGGCTTACACTTAGTCTCGGGGCAAATCTTGGCCCTTGGGAAAGCCTTTGCCAATTCAGGGAACAATTCGCTCTAATGTCATCAATTGTTATGTCCGAACAACTCAATGATTAAGCAGGTTGCATACGGTCACCTTCGTTAATTCAAAAATATTGAGGCGATAATACTTGTCCAATTGTAAACATAATTTCACCTGGATCCAAAATCAGAATACTAAACGCCGCTCCTTGAGTAATACTAAACAGATTTCAACTAGGCCTATGGAAACTGTCCTCCACACGAATATTTTCCATTTTCGAACTCTCTTGGTTCATCTTCAAAGGCTATGAAATTTCTTATTCTTTTTTTTTTAATGAGAAATTTCTTATTCTTGAAAGGCTGAAACAGGCAGTGTAAGGATAGAAAGAGTAACAGATGAATGGAAGACAGGCATTTGATTGTTCCAGTATAATATCAAACAAGGACTAGCAAACGTGCAGTCGCCAAATGAGTTTTCCGAGCGTCCAAATAGCACAACAACAACTTCTATAAAATCAATGACACCATAGATTGATTTAAAGGTGTATCGAATGAACAAGTTGGAAAAGCTAGAGTCCATTTTACATTGACACAATACAGACGCAGACAAACAATTCTCACATTCTGCTTGAAGAATCCTACTACACTCATGATTATGTCATTCGCACAAGTGCTCTGAATCAGCTATCAGTTGCCCCATCTGTCTCACTTGTACTTTTGTTGGAGGCCTGTCGAACAAATTGTCCACGAAAGCGAGGTCGTTGTTCAGCTAGTTTCTTTCTGCTTTGATATCGAACCTAAATTGCAAACCAGAGAAAGTTAGCGTACAGTAATCAAAGAAGTGTGGCGTGATAGACACCTTCGTGACAGGAGCACATAGGCTCCAATTCAACAGGGCAGCCCATATCAATATATTTCTAGTAGAAATAGTAACCACATGATAATTGATAAAGCCCTAGCTCAACTCAGCAACTTTTTGAAATTCCAGCAGAACACATCTCCAAGTACAAAAAAAGTCACACAAAAGAACATACCATTAGTTAGAATTTACACGGTTTAGCCAATTTGAAAAAACTACAAGCTAATTTTAATCAATCACAAATTCTCCAACAGAATCCCCAATTATGTTATTGCATTCATGGTGCTCCAACCATATCTGTTGGCTTCCACGCTCCTTCAACTTGATTAACCCTTATTAGCATTTTCACATATCAAATTTATGGGGATTAAGGTCATATTGGAGCCTAAACACCACATTGAGCAGTATGGGATGCTTGATAAGTATTTTTGTCTTTAGGAGTAGGGTTTTCATCCCATTTGAATAACCCATTAATTGGTATTGAAGCTAGATGTTGATGGTTTCAAAAAGGCTACCTATGAAAAGTTTTGATTAGCAAAGTCTTTTAACTGACAAGAAGTCAAGTGAAGTTTTACTGTAGAGAAAACCACTGAGACATCAGCTCCCCAAAGGAGGCAAATTGATGGAGAATCAATTAGCAAACAGTGCCTAAATTGCCACCTTAAGTAGGATGGAATTCTTAATGGAATATTTAAGCAGGCCTTAGTAGTTAGCTTTTGAAGGAAGGTTTCCCATCCCATTTAAGTGCCCATCATGAAAACACAGTGGTAATGATCATGAATAGGGTCACAATGCCCACTGAAATATAATCCCGATAACAACCTCCAGTGGCATCATAGCAGTGCTTTTTTTTTTTTAACTGATTGACAAGTTTGACAGATAAAAAATTCAGGGAGAAACTTCTTGAGAGCCAAAACAAAAGGACAGAACATGCAAAAAAATACAAAAAAAAAAAATCCATGAAACGATGATAATGAAAGGTAAGAGTAACACCATATTGCCGGAAAAGGTCATAAGCACTTGATGATATCCAGGAATAAAAACTCAACGTTAGTTACCTTTTTCCGGAAGCACCTCTCTTTCCTCTTCTGGCGAAATTTAGTTAAGGCTGCTTCTCTTTGAGAAGTCTTCTGATCTATTCTGTTAGCACTCCCACTCCCACTAGCAACACCACCTCGACAATTCCCAGCAATTCCAATGCTATTTTCTATGTTTATGTTTATCCCTCCAGCATTGACTGCGGTGCTGCTCCCATTTTGTCCGTTGCTTGCATTGTTGCTTCCCGACACACTTCTATTGATGCTATAATTTCCAACATTACCTTCAACCATTTCAACTACATCTGATGACCCACAATGTGGAGCTGTGGCAGCAATTTTCTTTGATGAGGCATCATCATGGTCCGGAGGTAGCTGGTGCTGCATGTTATTAACGATGCACCTATGGTTTTTGTATATGCCATGGAAGTCCTGTGTTGGAGAGTCCTTGTGTATACCTCCTCTAGGTGGTTCTAGCATAGTTGAGGCTGTCGTATCTTCAGTATTATGTACTGCAACTTGTTGAGAGGCACACATAAAGTTGTTTTTTATAGGCTCGAAGGCAGAAGATTGATACAAACATTTAGTTGGTGAAGCCACTGTTGTCTTGCTCATAACAGCAGATTTAGTGAAGGCATTATCAGTCGTGGAGCCCATGTCAATGTTATTACTGGCACCATTCGAGTTCTGGTTAGGAGGATTTCCACTAGAATGAGACTGGATGTCACGTGATGAATCTTTCTTTGTAACTTCTAAGCTATTATTATGGGGAGAATTGCTTCCAGCACAACCACCAGGAGATTTCTTTGCATTAGAAGCCGCATTGTACCTGTAGCAGAAGACTTCTTAAAACATCCTGCCATCAACCTTAAAATTAGTTCAGAATAACACAAAAGAATAAAATAGAGCCATCATACCTTGAAAAGGCTGAAAGGTCTGAACGTCTTAAAACATTCCGCTCATCCTGAATTGTAATACCAGCATCTTTAACTCCTCTAAGTCTCTTTAAACTGAGCTCAAGTGACGGCAATTCTCCATCATCATTGATAGCTTTGCTTTCAGTATCCGAGGGCTTGGTCCTTCTATTTGAGACTTCAAATTCTCCACCATGAATGCGCAAATTGTGCGTACTAGTAACAGCATCAGATTGAAATGGACCTTTGCATCTCAACTTGCTAGAAGGATCTTCACAGTGAAGTTCCAGCTGTCCTCTATTAAGTTGCCCATTGAATTTAGAGGAGCCTATATCAAGTGGGTTGCTATGCTTTTCGCCCAAAGTATTGGCCATGACCTCATTTCTATAGTCAAGAATCAAGCCGAGATCCCTACTGGAGTCCACTTTCAGCTCTATGAGTAGCCCCAGAAAAGAATGAAAAACAACAGAACAATTGGAAAAAGATATTTAAAAAACAATCTCAGACACAACTACATATATGCAAATGCACAAATCTCTACATGAATGCATAAATGAATGGTAAATAGTCATTATACAGCCAGCAAATTTAGCACAAAAAGAAACAAGGTAAGGAAACAGAACATGACATCAACAACATACAAACCCACAAGCCACTTAAATACCTGTAAATTTTTTTTAATACAATACCTGTAAATTTGATGTCCATGAATAAGCTTAGTGAAATTGAAAAACAATTATATTTTAGTTCTCATAGTGTTGCTGAATTTTTAGTACAAGTGAAATCGTCAGTAAATCGAGGCATAAGCAAAGCATTCCTCAGTAAGAACTTTAATAGATTAAGGTATGAACTTTACATTGTCAAGTCCGGATTCAATAAACCAAGAAAAAAAAATAGCACATTTGAAATAAAGTTTTGAAATTCAGCTATCTGTTGTGAGAAAAAGTGGGTGTCGCATCTATTGAGAGAAAAATGATAAAAATCATTTGAAATGATTTGGACATATACAAAGAAGGCCATGAGAAGCACCGATAAGGTAAGTAGAATGGATAATCTTGAGCCTAGTAGAAAGGGTAGAGAAAGACCAAAGAAAACGCTTATAAAAATTGTTGAATAAGACCTCTTAGTTAATAATATTCCTAAAAGCTTGGTTGACAATAGAGCACAATAGTATTGTGCAATCTATATAGCCAATCCCATCTGACGGGATAAGGCTGCTTGTTGTTGAAGAATTAATTTACTAAATGCTAGGGCAACCTAAATGAGGCTCGTTGGGGAGAAAATCAAAGCAAAGGACCACAATGAAAACAAGGTAGGGAATTTCCCCAAATGTGAAGGTAGAACTTGGCTTGTGAATATTCTAGTATTCAGCTTCCACCAAACATATCTAATTATCAAAACATCACTACATAAACATCACCAATCAGCAAACCAAAATTACACAAAACATTCACTGACATACATGGCTCTTTTTTGGAAAGAGCAGGGAGGGGAAGAGTTAATGCAGCCATAAGTACATTTTACTCTTACCAAGCTGATCCTTCTGATCTGGACACTCCTTTATGGCTACAGAAAACATCTTGTTTCCACTATTTCAGCATTTGAGAGAACTTCTTGAGCACAGGTGCTATCAGGGCACTCAGCTATATGATCCCACTGGGATGGTTTGGGACTGTCAACTTCTACAGCTTGTTTGGTCCATGAGCTCTGTAAAAAGAAATAAAGGACGAGATTTACATGTGCCTTTTTCCAAGCTAAATATCTACAAGACTGGATCTACAGGGTTAGGTTCGTTTGATGTAAAATGTGTGGAAACAAACACAATGAATAGTAAAAATATCATAGAAAGGTTATATTGTACGTTAAATTTTACAAGGATGAAGGAATAAATAGCAAGTTAACTTTTATTTTAATTTTTAATTCAATTTTTTTATGCATTTATACTCATGAATAGTAAAAACAGTATACATTCTTAAGATATAATGTATTTAAGTAAGTGAAAAAAAGTGAATATTTAAAATTACTAAATAACATTGATTATATGCATAACCAAACATAGGCATCTCAGATCTCTAAAATGTAGCATACAGGTTTCATGACTATCATGGCATCTTCTCCCATGGCATCTCATACTCATACCATAACAGTTGAGATATGAATACCAAATGCCTTCTTGATCACAAAATAACGATTTTAAGGATAAGATGATTAATGGAAGTCAGTCATCTGGCATTTGGTCCCCTAAAAAGTGCAAGTAAAAATATACCAAAGAGAAAGTCAAGGGAATTAGTTCTTATAAATTAATATACTGTTACCTAGTTGCCGTAATCTATGTTTATGTGGTTTTTCAGCAATGACTCGTCAGTCAGCCATTTACTTTCTTAAGTAAGCTGAGTTTTGGAGCACGTTTTTCAGTCTTTTCGAGCAGCTTAGGCGAGTAACAGAGAAATAACAGGTCAAGACCATAATAGTTTTAAAAACATAGGATGACAAAGTAACCTTTAAGCCATAGGTGGATTGAATGTAATTTACCCACAATTATAAACAAAATACTATAAAGCAGAAACATAAGTTTATACAACACTTTATATGAGGTTTCCCCATCTATCTAGGAGGAAAAGAGAAATAGAGACATTGCTTAAGCTGGTCTCAATACTCACTGGTTTTCATGATTGTCTTAGTGGTACGGCAGTGCAAAACAGATAACAAAGAAGACTGATTACATCATAGTGAGAATGTTCGTAACATCCCAAAAATTTGACTCAGGTTAATTAGGCTAAATGTGGTTGACTCAGTAAATTAATGTGGTGTATAATCAGAAGGGTCTAATAAAGGTATTAGGCTGTGGTTTCAAACAAAGATTTGGGCCCAAAGCAAAGCCGGGTCACTCAGACCTCAAAAAGGGAGAAAAATTAGTGGAGTTTTGGTCTATACCACATGTTGCAGCGCACAAGCGACAACTCACTAAGGAAGGGCCTCTCTGTGCCATGCATGGTCAAAATTCTGAACAAGTGGAGCTATATCAGTTTGAAAATTAGAAGAAAACAGGAGAAGACAAGGAGCACAAACCAAGCTTTGCTAGGGCTCAAGATTTTGGACCTTTGTGGACATTTTGGAGTTTCCAAACATTAAGATTAAGTCTTTTATGTCAATTCTCTTCATCCTCTTCCATTTCTCTTGAAGTTTTGAGCTAGGGTTTGCTTGGGATGATGATTTTCGATACATAATGGTTGAGCTTCAATTCATTGACTTAAATAGAGTTAATGAAAATTGTTTGGGTTATTTAAACATAGTATTTATGGCTTTGTGGGTTTTGGTGGTTTGACGGTAATTAACATCCAAAAATTCCACTTATTGTGGTTGTTGGAGGTGTTTGATACTCATTAATGATAGTTTGGTGGTTCATTGGAACTAATGTGAGCTAAAAGAAGCTAACAAACTCGATGGGTAAGCTTGTATGTGAGGAATTGAAGTTTTAAGAGTTTTGGGAGTGTTAAGTTAGATGTTGGGAATTATCCTAATGATGATATTAATGATTGTTGATGTGACTAATTGTAAATTAATTGCAAACTGACACAATTCAAACTTTGGATAAGCTCTGAAAAATATTTTATTAACAAGTAAACCTTTAACATCTTAAAGGTTTGAAGTGACTGGGAGAAATCTTGTTTGTACTTTTGTTTGTTGATTGATTATGTTGTCAATGAACCCAATTAAGATATATGAAATTGTGTAATGCAAGTGTAACTATGTTAGAAAACCACATGATGAACATAAAATTGTGAGTCATTAGATGAACCATTTGTATGAATTGAATATGCATTATGGAATAGCATGATGTGCTAAATTTGAATAATATAACATAATGATGATTTAGTGAACTATGTGAAGAAACACATGTGATTATGAGAAAAGGGTAAATGTGATATCTTGAAAGTTAAATGTTAACTAGCAAAATGAAACTTACACATGCTATGTGATAAAAAAAATTTGTGGCATGTAAAAGTATGATTAGTGGGATACGCATTATGTTATGTGTAAACATGCATTGCATTAAATGATCATATGAGGCATGAATTCACCCTAGGGAGAGGAGTAATGATTTGAAATTCATATGGTATGGCCACCATTCAAAATTCGATAGCTTGCCTATATTTATTATACTGTCTCACTTGTTCCTTAATGGACTGTCTTAGTAGTTTAGAGAAGAAGTCGAACCTAACTAGTCTTCATCAATTCATAAAGAGGGTAACTTAAAAGTACAACATCTCATGGTTATTAGTTTTGAGGGAAACCATGACTCACAAATTAGTGTAGTACCTTTGATCGGGCAACTCCTCATAAGTAAAAGGCTTGGATAGACAATCCCACTAAATAGCCAACAATTTCATGTCGAAGGTATTAAAAAAGTATGAGAATAACATTGATCATATATATCACATTATGGCCACATGACTGTTATTTTTGTGGCCTTGCAAATTGTATAAAAAAGGCGTATGGTTGTTAGTATTGTGACCCTTGCATATTACAATGTTTATGTCACATGCTTGTTAATTTTGTCACTAAATGGACTATGTTATGAGTATATGATTATGCGTTAGTGACAATGTCACTTGCACCATTATAATTAATTGACATACATTTGTATAGATTAGATTCACCTTAGTTACTGAGTGGTTGTGCGCTCCTTTCCCTTAATATTTTCAGGAGCTAGCTCAAGTCAGGCTCAAGGAAAAGCACCGGAGGCTTAAGATCTACAAAATCCTAATTATAGGCCACTTGTAAATTTAATCATATGTCTTTCACTTGATAATTTGTCAACTAAGATATCATATTATTTTGACATACTTGTACTATTAGTTGATTTGATTTTAAGGTGTATTTTAGGCCTTGAATTGTACGAGTCATGTTTGCAAAATCTTAATAGGGCCAAAATACTAGTGCAAATAAGAAAATGCGTAAATGCATGGATGTGATGACTTATATGTTGAATTATGAGAATTAGTCTCCCCCTGCTATTTTTGTATTCAAGGGGATGAGAGTTGAAATTGTGCTGCATGCACTACTGGAATGTCGTAGTGTAATCGAAATGGGTGTTGTCATTTGACAGCAATTGTGTTGTTAAAATCTGTACAATATGCCACAGTGCATGGCAGAGCAATGACGTACCATGACGCGTTGATGGCATGCGACAACACACCTCTATGTATTGTGGTAAAATGCTGATTTTCCAACTTAAATGCAAATGCCTTGATATAATTTGTTATCCCATTCTTCCGTATATATTTTACTCTAATTTTTTGTTTATGAAAGTATATTTAAGTGGTTTAAAAGTTAAAAAAAACTTGCGATCCCATTTATGTGATTTTACAAACTTGATAATCCCCTTAAAGTAATCCCATGATTGCCTTAATTGTTGGAGTTATGTGTGAATTAATAAGGACAACCTTACAATGTTACAATATGCATATACTCTCACCTTGATCCTTGCATACCCAATTTAATTTTACACACAAATGGAAACCAGCAAATGCCACATGGTAATGACTAACTCTATATAGGTAACTTTTAAAACTCAAGCAACTGACTTATCCAACTGGAAGAAAGAAAAGAGAGAGACATCCATGAAACTCAAGTTAAATCTTAAGGCGTACTCAATGAATGAAGAAACAGTCATACCTGAGTACCACTACCATTGTCACTTCCATCCACGTTATTTAGACCCACACTACCATTGTCTTCTTCATCGTTGCTGCCACTATTGTTATCAAACTTCTCAAGACTCTTTGATTTAAAGGATTTCTGAGTTTGTGTGCCACTTTCACTTCCACTGCCACTTGACTGGGAAGAAAAATCAACAAAAAATTCAGATTTATTATAAACAGTAGGAAAGCTTGCATTATATCAAAGCAAAAGAGTTAAATTTTGAGCCGAAACTTATCATTGAAACAAAAAAAATTTGGTGGTTCTAAGATGGAAAAAAAATTGAAACTTTCTTACCCATTCATTGAATCAGCAATGGAAATGGCCAGCAAATTTTACAGTTTTAAATGCATAAAATGTAATCAGCAGCTTTTAAAATAGGAAGTATGATATCAAAAAGAAAATAAAGTCCACTCACACTATGACATCTTCTCCACACATGCTGCCACAAGTTTTTAAGCTCATTCTTCCGTATAGGTTTCACTAGAAAGTCAACAGCACCCTTTGACAAACACTTAAAGACTAAACCCATAGAGTCATGAGATGACATCACTGCAGACCAATGTCATTAGAAGCCATAGAAAAGTATAGCTTTTTTAACAGCTTATCACGAGAACAAAATTACAAAAATCGAAACATTTAAAACAATATGGAAACTCAAAAAACTTACTAATTACGGGAATGTTTTTCCGTGTTTTGTGGCCCATAATTTTAGACAGAAGGCCAATGCCTGATAAGCAAGGCATTGCCACCTCAGTCAAGACAAGATCTATTTGACTGGTCAGATCCTCCAAGATCTTCCATGCTTGCAATCCGTTTGCTGCTTCAATAACTAGAAGATACAAATTTAACTATGATCATTTTCATGTTACACAATATCATAGTTCTTATGTACCTATCCTATGCACGTACATGTTACGGAGTTCACACAAGCAATTAGTTTAATGCTATACACAGAATAAATGCTGACACAGTTGAATCTCTTTTAACAATAACAAAAAATTACTCTTGAGCTGCAAATAAAAAATGATCTCAATTCTGTTCATCATATTTTTCAATCGCAACTTTAAAAGTTTACTCATTCATAAATATCAGAACCCATAAATACATCTTAAGCAGCCAGCCACAGGAAATATTGAATAACAAAAACTGGTATACTTCAATCATATATGTCGCAGAGAAAGACAAGATACTTATCAATCACCCTTTTCTTGCTGGAAGACCAGTAAATTCTATATGCAATGAATTGCAAAGATCTAAATATTAATATTTTCAACAACAAAGCCTTGCAATCATATAAGCTCCACCATTGACCAGTCAATAGATTTCTAACTAAGACATAGATGAGGTAAATAAAATACAAGGGTGCATTTGGTTTTTGAAAACAGTAATTAGTTTTCATCCCATTTATCTATTTCCTATATTCCATTTCATTTGCAACTTCTTAAACATTCAAACAATAGGAATACAAGTTAAAATTCAATTAATCTTTAGTTTCAAATCGAATTGACCCACATGGGCATAATTTTTTTCTTGCTTTTCTTTCTTTTCCGTTTAACTGCAAGTAAATGACAAAGGTTCATACGGTTGGAGAATAATAGGCGTGGTTGCTTTCTTTCTAAATTATTAAAATGTTACTTGTCAAAAAGTGGAAACACACTGAAAACTGTAGGAGAAAATATTATCTAAAAAGCATTGCCTAAAACACACTGAAAGCTTGTGTTTTAGACAATGCTTTTTAGATAATACAGTCTACCAATTACAAATTTTTTTTTTATTGCTCATAGGTATCCTCCTATTGAAAACGGTCCTGTTCGAGACAAGTTCGAGCACTAAATATAGGCACTTCTCTCAATAGGGATTTAAATATTGGTTTGCCACGTTGTGAAGAATTGGCCCCTTTTACTAGACCCAACACTTATTGGTTACCAATAAAAATGAGACCAAGAAACAAGCAAACCAAACAAATCGTCATATTCTAAAACTTAAGCCATATATCCTAGAGTGACAAACTAACACAAGCCTCATGAACCTTAGAAAGAGTCCCACCTAAATTCCCCCGCCCCAAAAAAGGCAACCTTCCCCCTGTGGAGACACTTCAATTTTCTAACTTATTAAACAAGAATTAGAATTCTCAATATTACTGCTCTTCCAATCTCTATGCCAGTTAAAAAGCCCTGAAAATAACATATGCAATCATTCATTATTATACAATAAATTTCTCTTCCTCACAAACATAACTAGCCATTATGAAATTTGTCTCAAATATCCGTGCTTAAGGATGCACTGAACCTCCTTAGGAGTTCATAGACCTCTCTGAAGATCACTCTTCAAAGGATATGCTTGTTCACTGGATTTTCTCATTCCCAATTCAACCAGAGCACTATCTTCTGGATCACAAAATCAGCCCAGCTTGCATTAGGAGTAGAAATGAATTTATCAAGCTGATAAGAGACCAAGTCAGCCTAGTCAGCCACTAATCACCTACCAGAGATGAAAATGAAGGGAAATAGTTGAAACTCCCTATAATTTTATTTTCCTAGCCCTTAACACAAGCATAACTAACTATTTGATAATACCCAGAGGATATCCTTTTTTCCTGTCTGATTCAAAAGGATGCTCAGAGAAGTCAGATGAGTTGCACGTGGAAAATATGTCCAGCTATACAGAAAACAAATTAACCCACCAATACAGGTCTAAGAGTAAACCATGATGAGTCAATCATGGGGTCAAGCCTAATGTAATTAATAATTATGCATCTTTATTACCTAGCCCCACCAGAAAATGAAAGACTATTTCAATTTTGAACTTACACTGCGAGATATCTGTTTATAATCTAGATGGGGAAAAATCTGAACGCTTTATACAATAAGAAAATATATTGCAAACGTAATGAATTAAATTGTGTCCAGTCTTAAGGCCTAATCAAATATGTAAAACATCTAATAACTGACAAATAAGTAACAAACCTTCATAACTACAATTGCGTAGCAGTGCTGCGACAACATGTCGAGTAGAGTCATCAATCTCCACAAGCAAGACCTTGAGGGATCTGAGATGTAGGAATCTCTCCCAAATTGCCCCTTGAGGCTGTTGTTGTGGCATGTGCTGAATTCCTGGGGCTTCCACAATCCCATCTTGTCCCACTTTAACTTCTTCAGCTTTTCCATTACTTTTTAACTCATCATCCTCACGAAAACTATGTTCGTCACCAGCAACTCCCTCTTTGGTCGTTTTTTCACCATCTCGTAGACGCTGAGCCAATTCATGAAATTCTTTATCATCACCATCAATGCTCATGAGGGCGTCCCTTGTCATTCAGATGATAGAAAACTGATATTTAGGAATATCCAAGATCACAATGGTTATAACCTGCCCTCATTCACTGGAAACATCACACCATACATCTTTCAGAACCCCAATCTAGACAATAAAACTCAGCCCAAGGCAGCCATAAATCACTGGATATGCGGTCAAAAAATAACCAGACCTATACAAGTAAGAATGTCATAAGTTCCGCTTTATTTTTCACAATGAACACCATAAAATATCCTTAGGCAACAGTTCTCTCAAACAAAAGTTACAAAACCCTTTAGGCTTCCCTCACCATGTATGAGCAGACAATAGAATTACTAAACCACCCTAAGCACGTATCTCTTTGTCAGCTGAGATGCAAGGATCCCCTCGTCATATCCTCCACTTCAAAATCAAATAAATGTGATTACATACATACCCCAAAACCAACAGAAAAACAGCTAGAAAGTAAGGAAAAAGATTAAGAGACAAAAATAAAACTGAAGTATAGATCTTGAGTTGATAATAACTCTGAACTCCTCCTTGTTGTAATTTACTGAAGCATCGGAATCAAAGTCCTAAAAAACAGGATAGTATCTTCCAAACCCTAAGTAGGTTGAAGAGCACTCGAGGTTCAAATTCCCCAATCGATTACTTATGTGACCGACCTCTACTGAAAATATAAATCCATTGTGAATACAGAGGAGATTCACAACAGTAAACACAGAAGAAGTCTTTCATACCCAGAAACGACGTTGTGGGATGCATCATATCTTATGCTAAATCGTTGGCACACAAAAATATGGGACTTGGAAAGCAATCATACATCTATTACAAAGACCCCAAAAAGAAAAGGCAGAAAATAAGAGCGGATTACAACCTCAGAAGCTTCATTAATCTCCATTTCCGAGCTCGATCCAGAAGGAAATCATTATAAATCAGCGGAACTACATAATAATGATTATTACGATTAAACAATATCCATCAAATCAAATGTTGACCCAAAAAATATTTTCATAAAAAATATTCAGCTTAATGTTGTGAGTAAAAAGAGATTGACCGATCTCAGGACTGCAGTAAGGAAGAAGATAATGCGATGGGTGTTCAGTGAAGAAGATATTGGGCTCGTCCAACGCTGCTGGCGTGGAAGAAATGGAGGTGTGGAACGTTCAAGAAGTGCCATGTAGGAATGAGATATTTCCAGGTTGTAATATATTTGGCGACGTGGCCAGAGTGATGTGGACAAAATCTAAAGCCGGGAGCTCCCAAGCGGTCACCGCATCTTTGGAGATCTGGATCGGAACACGTGGCACCATATGGGCTGGAAACTAAGCTCAGCGTTCAATGACAATGATGGCCCTAGTGATGAAATGGCCGAATTGTCCGCGGGTTGATTTTATTAATGTTTTCCGTGAAAAATATCTTAGACGAGCGATTCTGTGTTACGCGGTACAGCCACCCCTTCAAGTCATGATCATATCGTCCTCTCATTCCGCGTCACTTAGCTAAATGTTATTTCCTCTTCGATCTCAAAATGTAATACCTTTTTAAACAAAATCATACATTTCTTTATCTATTTATATAATAAAAAAATTATTTAATTCATAAGTTATTTTATTAAATTTTTATCATAAATTTTTTTATTTACCTTTTATTAAATGTTAGAAAATATATATATATATATATATATTAAAGTGTGTGTATTTTTAGGAGCGAAGTTGATTAATTATTAAATTTCTGAATAAATTTGATAAGTTTTAATGTTTTTTTATTCTTGTAAAATATTTTAGAAATAATTTATAAATAAGATTATAAAAGTATATCAATAAAAGTTTATTAAATATATTTTATAATTTTTTATGAAAATAAAAATATAAATTTTAAAAAATATCTTTTATTTAATATTTCAGTTAAAAAAATTAAAGAAAGAGGATATAATAAAAATTATTGTTAATAACAGTTTAATCAAAGTGTTTATATTTTGTGATATCAAACTTCCTAAAAATATTTTATAATTTTGAGAGTACCATACATTCAATATTAAAAAAAAAACTCACTCGATATTAGCATTGTCGAAATTGGCTAATGAAATTAATATTAGCCTATAGCCACTGTCTAAATACAATTAAAATATTATAAATATTATATTGTGGATGTCCATAACTCATAGCCCTTAGAATTTCTTTGTCCTTGATGTCCTCATGAATGACAAAGAGGAAATTTCTTAGTCTTAATAACTTATAACTTTCAAAAATTATATAATGCAATATTATATGTCTCATTATAACTTTGTAACATAAGGATAGAACTTGAATGGTTAGAGGTTATAAATAGAGATCATGTCCAGAGTATATGTGCATTAATAAATAAGAATTCTCCTCTATTATTTTCTCTCAATTTATTGTATTATCTTGTCATTCTCTACTCTTTATATTAACTATATTTTACAAAACGTTATCAGCATGAATTGATTTTGAAAACAAGATATGATTTTTTAGTTAGATTAATGTGTTCTTATATTATATATATGTATATATAATTATATTTTATATTATTGTTTAATTAACATTCATGGTTATTTTATTCTTATATTTTATTGTTTTATTTTCCTATCATTTTATTTTCTTAGTTATAAAGTAATTTTAAATTTCTTCATTTGAAAATAATCGTGTGATTAATGATTTAATTTAATCAAGTCTCATTTAACATCCATCACTTTATTTTTATTATTTATTGTTATATATTGATATACCTATTTTTCTTTTTCTATGTTTATGTATTTGATGCCATCGTCATGATTATTATCATTGTTATTGTTATTGTTAGTTATTATTCATTGCTTTATCATTTTAGTCCTCCGTTAAATTAATATTGTGTGTGTGTGTGTGTTATACATTTTGTGTTTGTTTGTGTGTGTGTTGATCAATCTATGTTGTTAGTATAATTTGTTTTATCATATGAATTATTTGTTTTATCCATCAACTTATTTGTTTAATAAGTTTGGTTATTTATATTTTTGTTTCTTTATATTATGCCTCTTTCAATTGTATTTTATTATAAACTATATTTTAGCTTGTGTGTGTGAAATATTTTTTTACTATAATATTTATTTTTTATGCTTTATTTATTAATTTTATCATAATTCTAATTGTTATTATAATTTTAGTTTGAATTATGGCAAATCTTATCAAATTTGAATTTACGACTGTTGATATCACGGGAAAGAATTATCTATCATGGGTGCTAGATACTGAAATTCACTTGGACGCCAAAGGTTTAGAAAAAGCAATTTTACCTAAAAATCGAGCAAGTAGTCAAAACAAGGTCAAGGCATTATATTCCTTTGTCGTTATCTTCATGACGGGCTAAAAGTTAAATACCTTACAATAAAAGATCCATTAGAATTGTAGATTAATCTAAAAGAAAAGTATGACCACTAGAAAATGATAATTTTACCTAAAGCCCAATATGAATGGATGCATTTGAAGTTGTAAGATTTAAAATTGTAAGTGTATATAATTCAGTAGTTTTTAAAATAAGTTTTCAATTGAAATTATGTGACGAAAAAATCAATGATAAAGACTTATTAGAGAAGACGTTTTTAACTTTTCACGCTTCAAATGTGCTCCTGCAGTAGCAATATCGTGAAAAGGATTTTAAAAAGTATTTTAAATTAATTTCTTGTCTTCTTGTGGTTGAACAAAATAATGAGCTGCTAATGAAAAATCATGAAATTCGTCCCACTAAATCAACTCCATTTTCTGAAATGAATGTGACTATATGTCGTAATTACTATAATCGTGGTCATGGCCGTGGCCGTGGCCGTGGCAGGGGACATGCTAATTATAATGGCGGGGGTGGTACTAGTTATAATCATAACACCCACTAAAAGAAGAAAAATAATGAAGGGCAAAAAAAAATTGTAAGAGCGACCCTTTAAAAGTTGTTGAAAATCAATGTTATCGATGTGGTATGAAGGGGCATTAATGTGGAATCAAATTATGTAAGAGCAAAAAAAAAAATGAAAGAGCATCCAAAAAAGCTTTATCAAGCCTCCATCAAAAGAAATTCAAATAATGTGGAATCAAATTTTACTTTTTAAAATGATGATATTGAGGCACATTTTGCATACAAAAATTATGATATCAATGAGTTGGATGATATTAATGGCCTTGATACTATGGCACACTTAGAGGTGGCTAATTTCTTTGAAAATTAGGATTAGACAAGTTTAGTTAAAAAATAATTAAAATAATTTGGATTATGATTCGTTTATATTTTTATTTTCTTGTAATTTAGGTTATGTTTCATTTAATTTTTTTTTTTCTTGTAATAAAAGCATTATTTCTATGAATAAATTTTATTTTATTAAATATTCATTTTAATACATTCTCTTTTTTTTTAAGAATATGGATATTTTCTTTTCTTCATTGGACACAAGAATGAAAATATATGTCTCCTGGATAGTGCTACAACACACACCATAGCTAAAGATAAAAAATATTTTACTTGTTTAACAATAACAGATGGAAGCGTTAATACCATAACGGGTAATACTAAATTAACCAATGGCTCCATAAGAGCAATTATAATATTACCCAAAAAAAAAAATTATTATAGATGACGCATTATATTCATCTAAGTTTCAAAAAAATTTATTAAACTTTAAATATATCTGTCGAAATGAGTATCATATTGAGACTGCAAATGAAAAAGATATTGAATACCTATATATTATAGATTTTAGATTTGAAAAGAAATGTGTCTTAGAGAAATTATTCACATTATTCTATAATTTGTATGCACAACTGTTAGTACAGTGAAATAAATGTAATAGTTAATAAGAAGTTTATCAACTAAGATACATTTATTGTTTGGCATGATCGGTTAGGCTATCCCAATTCAACTATGATGCGAAGAATTATTGAAAATTCACATGGATATCCATTAAAGAACTAAAAAATTCTTCAATTTAAAGTTTTTCATGTGCTGCTTGTTCTCAAAGAAAATTAATTAAAAGATCTTCAATTGTGAAAGTGGGAATGAAATATCCTACTTTTCTTGAACATATCCAAGGGAATATATAGGGACCTATCCATCCACCATGTGGACTATTCAAATATTTTATGATTTTAATAGATGCATCTACAAAATGATCATATGTGTGTTTGTTATCAACACGTAATCTAGCATTTGCTAGATTACTTGCCCAGATAATTCAATTAAGAGCATAATTTTTAGATTATGCAATTAAGATAATTTGTCTTGATAATGTAAGTGAATTTTTATCTTAAATTTTTTATCAGTATTGCATATCAACTAAAATAATAGTTGAAAAATTTATTACTCATGTCCACACTCAAAATAGTTTAGTATAATCATTCATTAAATGTCTCCAATTGATAGCTTGACCAATGCTCTTAAGGATAAAACTTACTATTTTCGCATGGGGACATGCGATTTTACATGCAATAGCACTTGTGCTCTTCAAGCCAACAAGTTATCATAATTTTTTTCCATTATAAGTGGCTTTTGGTCTAGAGCCAAATATTTCTCATCTTATAATTTTTGGATCTACAGTATTTGTTCCTATTACTCCATCACAACGCACAAAGATGGGACCTCAAAGAAGGTTGAGAATATATGTTAGTTTTGAATCTCCTTCTATAATCATGTATTTAAAACCATTAACTGGAGATTTATTCATGGCACGTTTTGATGATTGCCATTTCGATGAAACAATTTTTTCCAACATTAAGGGGAGAAAAATATGCAGCTGGAGAAAGAAATTACATGGAATAAATTATTATTATCTCATATAAATTCCCATACAAAACAATGTGAACTTGAAGTTAAAAGAATAATTTATTTGTAAAATATTATAAATCAATTGCCAAATGCATTTACTAACCATAAAAGAATTACCAAATCTCATATTCCAACTGAAAATGTTCCTATTAGAATCGATATCCCAGCAAAAAATTAGAAAGTGCAAATGAATCTAAGTCACGTCTAAAATATGGCAGACCAATTGCTTTAAAGATAAAATTCATAGAAAGAAGAAAGAAATAAAAAATAAAGATGGCATAGTAAAGG